CAGTTAGTTCAAAGAAAATCACAGTATGAGGGAACTTTCCACAGTGATCTTACTAGGGCCAGGGAGCAATGAGGTCAAAAATGTGTAGTTCAACTCTGGGCAGCGGTGGCGCACGCCTTTAATCCCAGCACTCGGGGAGGCAGAAGCAGGTGGATCTCTGTGAGTTTGAGGCCAACCTGGTCTACAGAGCGAGTTCCAGGACAGCCAGGGCTATAGACAGAGAAACCCTTATCTCAAAAACAAACAAACAAAAATTGTCAAGATTCTGACATTTCATTCTAACTCAGTTTCACTTTATGATTTTCATCAAAAACCAAAACAAGGCAACAAGGAGATAAAGGTAGACCAGAAATAAAAGAGCGGAAGGCAGGTAATACTACTTGTTGAAATCAGGTGATGGCTTGAAGATTCATTTTATCTTTCCACTTCCTTTGCATAGGTTGGATTTTCTATTACAAGAAGCTGAGCAGGAACTCTCAAGGACAGTAAAATGCAAAGAAGATGAGAACTTAAGACACACTGAGCATGCTCCTGGAAACTCCCCAAATTTGCAGATGATAAAGGACCACAGGATGTCTCAAGTGCCTGAATCAACCATGCTTGCTCCACAATAAGGCCAAGAAAGCTATGTGCACAGGACAAAGCCTGTTCTTCAGAATATACTACAGCCTGTGTACTGTAACACTGTAATGCAAAATATACCTGAAAGAAGCCATGTTCAATCAGGAGCTACAACATTCTGCAACATCCCTTTCTTTGATGTTACTGTTTTCTTGTGACAATTCTTGTATCTCTATGTAAAGACTGAAAACAAACCAGAAATTATTTATCCAACTATCTGGCACTGAGAAGATGGCTCAGTGGGTAAAGTTGCTTGCCACACGGGGATCCCCAGAACCATGTCAAGGCTGGGTATGGTGACAGTCTGTGATGCCATCACTGGAAGGGGCTGACAGGAGAATCTCCAAACCTCACTGGCCAGTCAACCCAGCCAGCATGGCAAGCTCCAGGGAGACGGTCTCTAACACAAACAAACAAAAACCAACAGAGCTCACTGACCATCAGCCTCCTGGCTGCAGAGACGCCTGCACACACCTCCGTACAAATTCACAGAAAACACACACACAAAGGATCTCAAAACCAAAACACTAAAAAATGAATGACGACATACGCAAGCTAGGTGGTGTACACCTGCGAACCCAGCACATGGGAGGTAGAAGGACGAGCATCAGGAGTTCAAGGTCAACCTTAGCTATATACTGAGTTCAAGGCCAGCCAACCTACATAGGACCCGTTTCAAAATAAAGTGTCTCAGCTGGGCAGGTGTGGGCAAACAGCCCTATAATCCCAGCACTAGGCAGGCAAGCAAAATGACAAAAACTCTCAATGTGATGTTTTGAAATATGAACTATAGTAAATCTCAGCTTTTGCTGAGGTAGTGTATAAAGTTGTTGCATGTATGTGTATGTTCGGTGTGTCTGCCTTCCAGAGAAAAGGGACTGTTAAGGCTCTGTCTATTCGCAGAAGAAGATGATGGTATCAACAGTTGTCAAAGGTGGAGCATGGTTCACAGAGGGAAATGAAGTGGAGCCTCTACCCTGCCTGTTAATCCTCTTACCTTCGGCTCTGGTCCAGCCTTCCATGGGGACCCCGAGCAGGAAATCTGTTCAGGTGGCTCAGGTGAAGTGTGTGGGATGTCTGGAAGAGACTCAGAGCTGAAGAAAGGAAATGGCCAGTGACTCAAAAGCCCTGAAACCCAGTCCAGCTTCCTCCTCCTCTTCCTGTGTACAGAAGTGCCCCCCTCTGTTCTGAGAGCATCTATAGTAAAGGAACAAGTCCTTTCCTCAGAAGTACCCCCATAAAGCCGCACCCCGACACGCATGCCACCAGTACTCACGCTTCTGAGGGAAAAGGGGGGGAATTCGGTGAGGCTGAAAGATCAACTGGGGCTGAGCTCCCAGGATCCCTTGCTTCTGGCCCAGAGCTGCCACATGCAGAAGGGGGGGTGCTGGAGACTTCAGTAAGGGCTGAAGGAAATAGTCATGGAGTTCAGGGGATCTCAGCCTTGACACCATGAAAAGACAGCCATCCCACCCCCTCAACCAAAGGAAGGATTATGCCCAAAAGTCGGGGCACAGGGCTCCCTCCCCTCCCTCCTGTTTTCAGCGCACACACTAAAGAGAGACAAATACCTGGTTGGAGAGCGTCTGCACCTTGACAGCATTCCAGGGCACTGCCTGGCCTGGGTTATAAGCTGCTTTCACCAGCACCTTCTCACCCAGCTGGGGTAGTCGGCCTTTCACCACACTGCCATACACAAACCAGGAGACCCCCATCAGGAGGGCCCGGGACGGGTCGCCCTGACTGCCCCCCAAGGAGCCCTCCCCATCAAGATTTCTCACCTTGCAGTAAAATAGCAAAACAATGGCTTTAAAGAGCGGACCCACCAGCACGGAGACAGAACTGAATCCAACAACCATTCCCCGAAGAGACGGGCCTCAAGCCTACCTTAGCTGAAAAAAGACTTCTTCGTCTACCACCCCGAAGTAGTCATGCAAGCTGGTAACAATGCCCGTGAAGACCCGCTGCTTCTCCCCACCCTGCAAGAGAAGGCAGCAGGTCAAAAGCAAAGCAAGCCACATGAACAAAACCATGCTCTGCCACGAGGGCACCGGTTCATGGTAAGACAGGAAACTTCACACGGAAAGCAACATAAGTCTATGAGGAGGGGAGAAGCTAATTCTTCACTTTCATGCATCTAGGATTTTCAGTTCTTTAATCCCAAAGATATCTCTGGTGCCAGATACTAAAAACTCTCCAGTCTAAAAGATACCTAAGTTCCCTAACACTGGTCCACTACCAGAACAAAACAAACCAACCAACCAACAACCAAACAAAAAGATGTTGATCAGTGTAACACAAGAAACATCACACTCCAGATATCCAGACACACTAGAGTAGCCCCAAAGAGAAACTCACTAGAAAGGGTACCCAACATACCTGAAGGTGCCTGGCATTTTGGGACAGGTCTGTGGCCACAGGAGGAGTAAGCAAACCAGGAGGAGGGCCCAAAAGAGATGTGGAAGCCGGGCCTACGGGGACAGAGAAGCAACCTCCAGAAACTGCACCCTTCCACCCTAAGCACTAGAGACAGCCAGAGGATCCTGGAAACCCAGAGGTCCAAGTGGCTCCAACCAGGTCCTCAGACACTCAGGGAAACAACCAAGAACCATACTTCGGGAAACTGGGTCCAGAGTGCGGCCAGGTAAGGAAGGTAAGCACCTGAGAAGTTTCGTCCTCCTGGAAGTGGGTTGATCCTCTGGCGCTTAAACTGGGACATTGGGAATGTTGTCCTTTCAAGGTCTTGGGAAACCTTCAATCAAAAAAGGAAAGACTTTAACAGCTCAAATGGAAAACGTCCATCTACTACCTGGAAAATCTTAATGAAGTGCAGCTTTTAAGGTGAGGAGGTGGGCCCTAAAAATGGAGGAATGGAAAGGATGTAGAGGAAATGAAACGGGTAACTATGTTACTCCAGTTTGACCTCACAATAACCTAATGGTGGGTGCTTCTGACATGCTGGTTGACAGGCAAGGAAACTGGAGCTCTGCGACCAGGAGACTTGCCCCAGGCCACAAAACCCGGCAGTGACAGAGCAGGACTCACACCCAAGTCTCCCAACAACTTAGCACTCCTTCCACTACGCCGCCGGCACCCTTAGAGAGGCTGGCGGAGTGAGGGCATGGAAGAGCTCCGGTGACATTCATTCATTCAAAAACATCCGCCAAAACACTCCACGCAGGGCCCGGAAAAAATGGAGGTGCGGGTGGCGGGGAGATGATGCGGGCCCTCTCCCCGGAAGGCCGCCCGTCGCTCTCTCGGCCCGGCTGGTGGGAAGGGAGCTGTCCAGCCGGCCCTCGCCAAGCGGCCTGCAAGCCGCTCCCTCCTCCTGGGTCCCGACCCTCGGCCCCGGCCTCCACAGCCGCCTGCGCTGAGCCTTCCCGGCCGGGCCACCGAGGGGCCACCGTGGGAGGACCACGGCGCCAGGTTTCTTCTCCTCCTCCCGCCCGCCCCCAGGGCCGAGGCCGTTGCCAGGGAGACGGAGCTTGCAGTCTGGAGGGGGGGCTCGGCTCTTTTCGGCGACTGGCACATCTTCGCCGATCAGACCCCCGCAGCCTCGCCACCCGAGAGAGACAGGAGAGGCAGGGGCGCAGCGGGAGGCTCCCAACCCACCTGCGGGCCAGGGCCACGACACCAGGGGGACAAAGACACCCGGAACCACCGCAGCCGCTGCTGCCACCACCACCGGAAACGCCTCTCCGGAAGAGCGACCACTGGTCGGAAGCTGCCACTCTCCCGGATATGGTACCTCCCTCCTCTCCATCGACCTCTCCCTTCCCCCACGCCAGCCAGCCATCCCGCTCAACTGTGGAACGGAAGTGCGCCTTCCCAGATCTGATAATGCATTCGGAAGCCGAGCTCAGTGGTGTCCTCGCTCAAGTGTCCCATTAGAAAAGTAGGCTTTCAGAGCATTGGTTCCTGGTTTCAAGGGCTCCGGGAACTGGAGCCCTCCACCAAATGCAAGAAAGGGAGGGACAACTACTTACATACCTTGCTGTACTCTACCCACTCCCCCCCCCAAACTGCAGCAGCAAAAGAGACCGCACCTCCATTGACTGGAGCAAGCCTACTCGGGCTATTTTCAGAGGGCATTCTTCTGTCTGACTTAAGCCAATGACCCCCATCCCTAACCCTGCCCGTCTGTTGACAGCACCACCAGCAAGAGGTAATCGTATCAAAAAATCCATGCCCAAATTTTCAATATGAAATGTACTAGACCTCAGTAAAATAACGTACCCAAACTTGCCAGAAATCTGGCCATTTTCACACCAACTAACAGGTGTCACCCTCCCTTAACCTCTGACCTCCCTCCCATCATCCCCCTACACCTGTCTGCCCTCAGCAGCACACCCTTTCCTATTCGCTTAACAGTCACAGCACACAGTGAGAGAGTTTAATGTTACTTTATCCTCCTAACAAGCTTCCGAGGTAGGTAAGGCTGGCGCCATCCCAAGTAGGGAGCTGTGGCTCACAAATTCAGAGATGCTGCCATGGTCTCAACTCCAGGATAGAACACAGCAACTGAGAATTGACCTTGAGAGTTATTTGCTAGTCTTCACATTGTGCTTGGTCTTCCCCCCATTGCTCGTTCAGTCCTCAGGCTGTGCTCCAGGGCCATGACTCAATGCAGAGTTACCCAAGGCAGTATTGTTCTCTGTCCCAGGGCTGCTGTCTCAGGTATGAGGAAGAAATTAGGAATCCACATTAGTAACTGTCCGTTGTGGAATGAAGATCAGTGCTGTCCTTCCACAGTTACACCCAAAGCACCAACCCTTTGGATGCATGATTCTGTCAGATGATTGAATCCGGGCCGCTGATAGTCCAACAGAGACCGCAGAAACATACATCTGCAACATGCTGGCACATTGCCATACTAACCACGCTCTGTGGGTGCCTGATAACTAAGTCAGTTCACATTGTCTGGGCCCAGAGATTTCTGGCAAGGAAGAGGAACCCTGGAAGATGGTGGGAACTGCACTTGAGGGTCTCTCAGGGAACCAGGGCTCCTTGGCCACGCTGCTTAGGGAAGGACTCGGCTTGAAGAGGAGCAAACACAAAGAGCTTTTCCTGGCAGTGCAGGGACACCACAGTTAAGCCAAAAGGTGAGGGACTCCATGGCAATCCCCTCCACCCAAGGTCACCAGGCACACCAAGAGGTCACACAGAAAGGTTTTTTGTGCGTGGTTTCTTAACCACCAGCGTTGGAATAAAGGTCTTCCGGTGGGTGTGGCACTGAGTCCTTTCAGAAAGGTTCCTGAACGCCATCCTACAAAAAGAGCAAAGAAATCTAGAAGACCAGAAAAAAGAAACTATAAAGCATTGCTTACTTTCTGAGGAGAAGATAGGATTGTTCAAGTGTTCAAGTGCTGCTGCTTCTCCCTAAAGAACAAGCCCCCAAAGGGCTGGAAAGATGGCTCAGAGGTTAAGAGCATTAAGGGCTCTTCTAGAGATCCTGAGTTCAATTCCCAGCAACCACATGACGGCTCATAATCTGGCGCCCTCTTCTGGCACACAGGCAAACATGAAGACAGAACACTGCATACATAATAAATAAATCTTAAAAAAAAAACAAAAAAAAAAAAACAAGCCTCCTCCAAACATGACAGACTTCACCCACAGTAAAATAACTTCCCTCTGTAGCTACCTCATCGTCCCCTAAATTCAGTGTTAAGGAGTAAGAGCTTGGCAGGGGAAGACAAAGATATCACCCATAATCTGGCTTTGGCTTTGGGAAAGCCACTGTCTCTGATCTCATCTCGTCTTCAGTCTCCTTACCCACAAATGGGGCATCTTAACTCCTTTCGTTATTCGGGGCATCTTCTCTAACACTCAGTCTCACAAATTCCATGGGGACCAAGATGACAACTGTCAGGACAGAACAGTGTCAACATCCTGGCCCATCAGTCTCTCCCCACTGCCTTAACCTGGACCAGGCACAAGACTAACCTGGGACCAGAACGATCAGGAGGAGCAGGAGGCTCAGGGAGCCGAGGGCTCCTCCAACGGATCCGATTGAGCAGGACCTTGACTTTGTCCCAGTGGGAGAGATCCTGCTGGACAGAGAATAGGGGTCACCATACAAAGCATCTAAATACTATATATCCCTAATGAAGCTCCCAGGGACTTCACTGCCAGAGCAGGTCCCCTGCTCCAAACAGGAATCATGTCACTCTCCTACAGTTCTGACCTGGGGCACTGACACATCCCCATGCTCCTCCACCCTGCACCATTCAATCATCGGCTCCAAATATTCCCATCACTACCTTGTGTCCCTGGGAGGACGGACGGATGTGGGTTGATTCCAGCAAGGCCTCTGGCAGCCTGGGAGGGTTGGCAGTGAGCACCCCCACCTCTGAGAGGGAAGCTGCCTCTGCACCTTCAGAAAGAGAAGTGCATCACCCGGGGCCAGAAACAAACAGGAAGCAATCCGGCTAAGCTATAGTCCAGGGGGTCTGCTGATGGGACTCTGGGCAGGCGCACAGGCTGGCAGAATGCAGAGGAAGACACAGTTAGCCCTTACCTGGGTCCCCTGTCCAGCTTAGCTGTTCTCTGTGCCCTTCCACTCCATTGTCTGGGGTGTGTGAAGATGAGAGAGCCAATTCTTCCTCCTCGGGATCCTGAGACGGGAGAGATGGGACAACCAGAGACTCACTGGAAAGCTGGGGCTGTTCAGAAGGTATTCATGCTCCCAGGAGTCCCACCCTCCCCACCCCCCACTGCCGCCGCCTCCCTCACTATCTCACCTGGCCACCTGTACCTGCCCATCACTCACCCTCGAGGGTCTCTGGGTCTGCAGCTGCAGGTACAGCTGCTGGAGCCTCGCCATCTGCTCCAGCACAAGGCACAGGTGTTCCAGGTAACGTAAACCCTGCCCTGGAAGGCAGGTCAACGCTCCAGACTCCATATCGCCCACCTGTGGGACATGTTAAGACAGGAAGACTTCGAGATGCAGCCAAGACTCCCATTCTGGATAGTCAGGCAAAGATAAACCAACAAAATGGAACACAGTAGGCAAGCCGAGGAAGACACACCTGCCTGGCTTCCCTGGTGCCCAGTTGAGCCTGGCACCCATACCTGTCTACTTCCTCTGTGGGGGTGGCTACATACCGCCGGGCTCAGGGTGAAGCAAGAAGCAGTGACCCAACCATCAATTAAGGGCAAAGAACGCCCCACCCCGAGAGAGCTCCAGGGGGAATGGGGGAGGGTCCCCACCAGCCCCACGGCAGAGCTTTCTCCGTCTCAGTCTTCAGCCAAGATGAATACTCACCACCTTTGCAACTTCCAGACCAGCGTCTAGCTCAGTGTCTGCCTCAGTGGACTCCAGTTCCCCTGCAAAGATGGGCACTCCACCTACAGGCTTGCTCAGCAGCTGCAGAGAGCTGCGCCTCCGCCGCCGCCGCCGCTGTCCAGACAAGCTGGGAAACTCTCGAGACCTCTCCAGCACCTGTTCCAGCTTCTGCCGGGCCAGCAGCCGGTCTAGCTGGGCAGAAGGCAGCTCAGGGCTCCCCATGGGCTCGAGGTTCAAAGAATCTTGAGAAAGTCCTGATACGGTAGCCAAAGGGCTGTCCCCAACCACCATCTCCATGCCGGAGTCCTGGGAAGCCAATTTCAGAAGGGGCATCTGCCCCTCCCTGAAGTCCAGTGAACATCCATGAGTTTTATCTGGTATCCGTCTGTAGGTGCAGGTGACTCCTGGCACCACACAACCTTGTGCCAGGTCCTCGAAGGCCCCATCTGTAAGGAGAGTCAGTATCAAGCTGGGCAGGCTGCCCTCAACGCCCCCAGCATTCCTAGAAGTTGGCAGCATTCCCTTGAGGAGATGTGTCCTGTACCAGTGGTGAGCAAGAACACAGACCATCCACAGCCCCACGGAGATAAGGTTCTACCCCTGCTTGGAAGATGTGTAGATGGGGTTCTCCTGTAACAATTGTTGTCAACAGGCAGGAAGCTACACTTGGGGCATGCGGTAGGTAAAGGCCCTGTGAGTCATGACAATCAGCAAGGCAGATGACGTAAGAGATCCTTGACTAGGATCTACCTGAAATCTTCAAGACTAAGTGGAGAGCCTTGGACTCCTTGGATACAGGAGGAAGAAAGAGCAAGTTGAAAACTGGGGCCAAGCAGTGCTATCTGGAGCCCCTGACACACCAGGAAGCAGGATGAGGTATCTCCTGGAGTTTATGGGGACCGTAACAAAAAGGCCAGCAGCTAGGGCTGGGACGTGACACACTGAGAGCTTTCAAAGCACACACAAGGCACTGGTTCCATCCCCACACTGCGAAACAGAAGCAACAACAAACTGGCAGCAACTATAACCGTTTGGGGCTTCGGGCTTTTTAAGAAAGAACGATCACGTGACAGAAGGGGGACAATGGAGTTGAATTGATGGTTCAGTATTTTAAAAGCACTGCTTTTTGTTTTGTTTTGTTTTGTTTTTTCAGAAGATGGGTGCTGGATTCCCAGCACCGACATGGACCGTCACAACTCCAGTTCCAAGGGATCGGGTTCCTTCTTCTGAACTCCCTGGCCAGTCCACGCAGGTAAAACACACAAAATAGAAGTTCAAATTCTTTAAGAAAAAAAAAACTTTTAAAATATAAATTAAGGGTCTGGAGAGATAGCTCAGGGGTTAAGAGTGCTGACTCTTCTTCCAGAGGACCTGAGTTCAATTCCCAGCACCCACATGGCAGCTCACACCTGTCTGAAACTCCAGTTTCAGGGGACCCGACACCCATGGCAAAAACACAAATGCACATAAAAATAAAATTATATATATATAGTAAAACAAGGAAGCTGACTTTTGTTTTTGAAACAGTATTTTACTCTGTAGCCCAAGCTGCCCTGAAACTCCCAATATCCCTCCTGCCTCAGTCTCCCAAGTGCTAGGATTATAGGCATGAACATCCACACTCCTCTGACTAGCATCCATTTATCTGCATCTCTATGCCAGGCCTTATTGTGCTCTGGGTGGTCTACTGGAATCGGGCAGAAGCCAGGGCTGCTTTGGCGGGAAGAGGATGCCAGCCTGTCCCCTCTGGCTCAGGAAGTGGACAAGGAAGTCTATGCCCTGCAATCTTCCCCGGGAAATGGGTTTCTGGCCGCCCAGGGCTTCCAGGACTGCTGGCTGGGGCCAGGGTATTCCAGTCACCCAACCTCGGGTAGAGGAGATCTCCACACTGGGAATTAAGAGGAAAGGAGCCCACGGACCATTAGGATTCAGGTAGTGAGTGGGTGATTAACCTGCAAACCCCGGAGGATCTGCACTGTGCAAGGCGTCTCCAGCCTATTCACTGGCTGGACTCCTTCAAAGCAAGGAAGCGAGGGGGCGCGGCCAGTGGGCACCGCCCGCGCCGGGCAGGAGAACGGGAGGCGACCCCAAGGTGGGAGGCAACGCGACTCACCCCGGCTACCAAGTCGCTCCACCGCAAAGACGCGGCGCCGGCTCAGCATGGCGCGTTCCCAACTAGATGTGGCAACCGCTGCAGCACCTAAGCGATCCCGGGCGTCCCCAAGTCCCCAGTTGCGCTGGAGCGTCTCAGCCCGCCGTTCCCCGCCCAGTTGGGCGAGGCCCCGGGACACTCCCCTCGGAGGGGCGGGCCAGGGCGGAGCGCGACACGCAGGTGGAGGGCGCTGACCCGGGCAGCTTCAGTCCCGGGACTCCCTTCCCCGTCCATCACGTCCCCAACCCTGGCTGCAGAAGGACCCCAATCCAGTGTGCCCTTAGAGGAGCCCGTCCCCACTCGAGGACGCTCGAGGGCTGGCTGCGTGGGGTCACCACCCCCCGGCTGCTCGTGCCCGCTGCGTTCCTGCTGCAGCTTGAAACCTGCTAGTGCGGGAGCTGCACGGCACAACAGCCCGGAAGGAAATGGAACCCCACAGTGCTAGCGGAGGGAAGAAGGCAGACTAGGACTGCATCCGGCCTCCCAGCTGTGTGACTTGAGGGCAGGTCCCTCAGTCTGTCAGAAAGGGGGGAAGGGTTCTGCGCCCTGGGAAAATCTACACAGAGCACTCACTGCAAGGCGCTCTGCGCCCAGGGCTACTTATGAGCCCGCCTACTTAGCCCAAGCTTCTGTCTTATCCGGGTGCTGCCGCAAAGTTGCAGGGGTGTGATGGTTGGGTCTGCAGGGTGTGGGCAAGAGGTGAGCCAGCAGCCCGGAGCTGCCTGGAGGCTGAGCAGGAGTTTAAATGTTTCCCTGACCCTAGCAGCCATCAATCACCCTTGGCCCCGTCCCATTCCACCGAAACCCCATTTTAAAAGGAGCCCAGGCATCAGCTGGTGGTCAACAACTACCAGGTGACCAGATGGGCCTGGGGGCTTCTAGGGAAACACTGCCTTTTTCAGAAGCCAAAAGGGGCTGGAAAAATCTCAGCTGGCTTCAAATCCCCTAGAGGCAGATAAGGGTGCTCTCAGAGGAGAGGCTAGAGCCAGAGCCAAGGGAAGTCTGCGGCCCCTCTCCAAGCGTCTTCCTAGACCCCATCCTCTAATGCTCTCCACTGGTTCCTTCATCAGAGAGCCACGAACAATCGAAGTTCGGTACTATAAAGTCGGGAAACTGAGGCACCCAGCACGCAAGATGAGAGCCCAAATTGCAGTTCTCTGCCATCTTCAGACCTTGATGTTTAGGCCAAGCCCTTTTCCTGCGGCATGAGTTCCCAGAGCTGCTGGCTGCCCCACCCCCCCCACCCCTGTCCTTCAAACATAATGAGGGAAACAGGATGCTGAGCCAGCCAGTCCTGCTTTCTCCAAGCCCAAGAAGAGCTTGCCAAGCCAGGTAGGTGACTTCCTCCTCCAAGGTGAAAACTGTGGGGGAAGCAAAGAGGGAGACCCTTTGCCTGATCTCGCCCTGCATTTGGAAAATGTGAGGCCCAGATTCCAAGCAGTCTCCGTGGTGACTAGGACAGGAATGCATCTAGAAACAGGAAGCCAAGCCAGCAAGAATGCAGTGTCTCAGCACAAAGAGCCCACACACACCCCACTAAGTACACTCCCCAACAAATACTCCCCTCCCGAACAGGGCCCCACCCCCCTTGTGCAAGGCTGGGCCAGGTCTGAGCAGTCGCAGCCTTCGTGGGAACTGGGCCTGATGTGGTGGGCTAGACTTCCTTCTGCTCCTAATGTCCCGGCTGTAGCTCCTCAAACTCAGAACCCGGCCAGTCCTTTGTTACCCAAAGGGTTGTGCCTCCCTGCATGACCTGCCACTGTGTGTGCGTCTCTTTTCTCTGCCACCTCCACCTGGAAAAGCATGTCCCTTAGAGTGAATCCCAAGAAGCGTCAGCGCTCAACTGCCTGTGGTGGCCTGAGGAGGCCATCAATGGCCTTGGTCCTTCTGCCTCCGGCGGGGAAGCCCCAGTTTCAGGAAGCGGACTTCCTGAAAACGCAGAACTGAGCTCAGACCCAGGGGACAAGCGAAGCCAAGGACCCCAAGGACAAGCTCTGGTTTGGGTCCTTTCCTGACCCTCCCTTCCCACATTCAAGCAACAGGTGACAGTGATACTTGTCTCTGAGCTCTGAGAATGCAGTTCACGCCCTTTGGATAGCCTTAGTCCACCCAGAATGCTCTAGAGCAGTGTGGTTCTCAACCTTTGGGGTCACAACCTCTCTGTGGTTCAAATGATCTTCTCATAGGGGTTGCATTCCAGATATCCTGCATATCAGGTATTTTCATTACAATTCATAAAAGTAGCAAGATTACAGTTATGAAGTAATTGTATGGTTGGGGTCACCACAACATGAACAACTGTATTAAAGGGTCGCAGCGTCAGGAAGGTTGAGAACCACTGTCTAGAGTCTTAGCCATTGTCATCCAACTGTGTGACTTTGGACTTCCATTGCTCTCCCAGCTCTGTTTGAAGAGAGGCACATTAGATGCTTGGGCCACATCTAACAAGTCTGTCATTTTCGAACTTATTCTCCAAAACGCAGGAAGAAATATGGAGTACAGTTGTGCCAAAGGGGTGTGTGGATTGGAGAGAATGAGAACTCGCCACTAGCTGGCTTGGGGTGAGGAGGAGAGAAGGAGTGAACACCAGAGCCTGCCCCGGCCCTCCTTCACTCCTGGTGGCACATTTTGGCCCACAGTGGGTTTGTTGCAGGTGGAGATATAACCACATCGGTAATCCAACTCACCCTTCCCAACCTGTCACTCGTTTTAACATTTTCCAAGTGTCCCCAGAGCCTCAAGGTGAAGTTCCTATCACGTCTGGTTTTCAGACTCTCGGGATCTTACTGCAGGTTCCCCAGCAGCCACTGCTCGAAGCTGAGCATTCACTGCTGGCGGTCACCCATCTCTCAACACATGCATCCGTCCTTTTTCAGAGGGCGGTAGCTTTGAATCTCTAGCAGCCCCTTGTGTGTGTTCCAAGACATCCTTAGCAGCTACTGTACTTTATTATGCCAGCCCCATAGCTGCTGCTTCAACATTATCTCCAGGAAAGTGAAAAAAAAGTGTTTAATCTTCTGCCTGCCCACTGTGCCAAAGCCCAAATTCGAAGGAATTCCTCTTCTGTGAGCACGTTCTTGCTGTGGGGTCATTGAACACTAGATGGCGCCAAAGAGACTACCACCTTTCCAACCAGTGGCTGAGTTTGAAGGACTCTGCCAGCCAGCCCGCCTGCCCGCCCGCCTGCCTGCCAGCCTTGATCTTTTCTATAAAAATACAGGCTCATCTTCAGGCAGCCATCCAGGCAAAAGGTGAGATGATTATATCAAGGTGTAAATTATATCCACAGGTGTCTCAGAAGGCAACACAGTCTCTGCCAAGATTCCTTTCCCAAAGAGCCAGATAGCAAGGACCGCCGTCAAAGCCCCCACCCTCCACAGCCAGCTCTGATCCCCTTTGAAAACGATTTAGATGCCTCCCCCTTCCCAGGCTGACAGCGGGCATGGCTGGAACACACAACAACACCTGAAGATGTTCTGAAATGTCCTCTGAGATTAAAACTAAGAGTAGCTGATAGATCAGACCCCAAATTAAGGGTTTGCAGAGGACCACTGCCCCCTACCCTCCTCTCTGCTCAAATGCACCCCACACAGGGCAGGATCCAGCCCTGCGCTCCAGCCGCACCTTTCTCCATCAGTGAAGCCAGCAGAAGGGTACAAGCTCTCGGTGGGTGATGGGCAGTACCTTGGAGTGAGTACTCCGTTGGATTGTCTCAGGCCACAGCCCTTCCTGAGCAAGGCCACCCTGGGGCCCCTGGTCTGAGGATATCCTTGGCTGATGGATCACTGTTCCAAATGGAGCATGCAGCCTAAGGGATCAAGCTCCTCCACCCACCCACACACCATCACCAGGTTCCGGTTCCTGCTTGTCCTGCTCATCGGTGTACACTGGTAGTCAGTGAGGCTGGGAGTAGCTACACTAAGTGAAGATCCCAGCCCAGCTCCGCCTACAGCTGAGTTTGTGGAGCGTTTGACGGTCTCGCCAAGAAGCCCTTCCCTGGTTCTCTGGTTCTCTGCTGTTGTGTCTCTCCTAGCTTCAGAGAAGAAGCCCCTTCCCTCCAAGCATGAGCAACCATCTTTAAAAAAAAAAAAAAAAGAGTAAAGGAAGTGGTATACCCCCAATTTCAAGGAGCAAACCACTCACTGGGGTGGGGTACATACTGTAGTCCCAGTCCAGTCCTGCTGGGAGGGATGTAAGTCTGAGGTGCCTGGGATACTGTCCCCAAGGTACAAAAAAGAAAAAAAAAGAAGCAGGCCTCTGCGATGGGGTGTATAGCGGGGTGAGGTGGGGGGTGTGGCTTAAGAAGGGGAAATAAGAGGGTACCCATAAATAAAGACTTGCTTCCCAGGAACGGGGAAAGAAGGAGAAAAGGACACTACTTGGTTTTTATCCACATGTATATAGAGTTCATAGGTCAAAAACTTTACACCGTAAATATCACTAACCTCAGGCCCACCTTGCCCTTCTAGATACTTACGTATGTGCCCAACCCTATATACAAATGTGTCCAATGGAGTGGCCATTTCAGACCGCAGTGCAACACCTGGCCTGCAGGAGAAAGGCCAGAGAGAGTGGAAACTGTCCTCAGCACTTGCGGCCTGAGACGAGTCCCAAGCCGTGGCTTCAGCCAGCGAGGACAAAGGGGTCTCCCCAGCCTTAGTTCACGGAAGAAGCCACCACCTGCCATCACCCCCTCCCTGCTTGCTCTCGGTCTGCAGAGCCTGAGAGCACAGACAGGCTGAGGCTCAGGCCCGAGAGCTGAGCGCGCCAGGCATTGAGTAGCGCTGGCGGGCATGCTTCTCACAGTACAGCTCATCGCCCACCCAGAAGTGACCGCGCATCTTCAGGTTCAGCCCACAGTCCGCACAGGTGTAGCAGCCAGGGTGTCGGTACCTCCCCTCCTGGATGCGGACAGCCTGGTTCCTGCAGAAAGGGAGAGCCATTAGATTCGGGACAGAGGCAGGAGAGTTAGGAGGACCTGGCCTGAGGCCGCCATTCCCAGGAGACCTGTTCCCCAGCCAGTCGGAACCCCAGACACAAACATCTCAGGCCTCCCAAGCCTCTCTCGGGAATTTCACTTTACCAACCCCCACCAGAAGCACAAATACACATACACACATGCACAAACACCCTCTTAGGATCTCCCAATCAAGAACAACAAAGAAGGGCCAGACTTCTGTCTCATCAGGTGAAAACACTTGCCACAGAAGCCTGGCAACCTGAGTGTTATCCCCACAATCCACGGTGGGATGAGAGAGCCAGCTCCCAAAAGCTGTCTTCTGGCCTTGACATGAACGCCATGGTTACTTCCACACTCATACATGCATTAATAAATACATTTTAATTAAAAAGAACATGAGCTAGGCCTGCTAGCACATGCCTATGATCACAGTATTAAGTAGGCAAGAGTGTATAGTTTGAGGCAGACCTTGTCTCCCAGACTGACAAATTCCCACACGTCCCCTGGGCGGTGGCTCTCGGAAAGTGACCCTGAATCCAGAACTCATGGCATCCGCGTCCGCATTACAAGGCAGTGAAATCAGAACTGATACCCTGGGGCTGGTTGTGTGCTCTGTGCTTTCCAAGCCCTCCAGGGACAGGGATGCAGGATCCTGGGGGAGCCACGAATGCACACCAGCTTCCCACCCTACCTTCCTCAGAATACAGGGCACTACCCTGTCCTGCAAATGAGAAAGCTGCCGCCAGGAAAGGGCAAGGAATTGCCCAAAGTCAGTCATCTGACTCAGTGTTGGCATTTATAAGGGGAGGGGTACCAGCGTTTGTTTGTTTTTTTTTTTAAGCAGAGAGAAGGGCTACATTATAATGCCACCCACTGAGAAATGAACCCAGGGGCAGGAAAGGGAGAGCTTTTCCAAGAGGAGGGATGTGTCTCATCCGGGGGCAGATCTCCAGAGGTTTGGAGAATATGTAGGAAAAGCCAAAAGTGGAAACATTTTTCATTCCTTTGGGGAGAGAGGAGAAAGTGAGGGTAGGCAGGAAACAGCCAAGCATTCTCTCTGAACCTGAGGCCGCTTGGCCATGCTTCCCTCTATGGTTGGTCCCTGACTGGCGGCCCAGCTTTGTCTGAAAGTCCCGTGCTCCCCAAGGCATGCTCATCGGCCCAGCCCTCCAGCACTCACGAGATGTTGACACTGCACTTCTCACAGGTGTGGAGCTTGGGTGGGGTGGCCGAGGCCTTGGAGGTGGGCAAGGCGGCCTGGGGACTCAGCGAGCTGGGCACAAAGGCAGGTGTGCCACCTGGGAGGGGCAGGAGACGGAGAGACGCATGAGAGCTGCTTGTCCAGCCCACAGAGGTATCCAGCTGTACTTAATGGCATTTATGACACCCTTCAGATCCTCCCCAGGACACTCCCACACTTGTTACAAAAGGCACACTTTCCCATGGACCTCTGAAGTACCAGCGGGAACACAGACAGGTAGAGAAGGAAAGTGACTGGGGCAGACCCTTGGCAAAGGCTGCTTGGGGGGGGGTATGAACCCTGTCCTTCTAAAGCAACCTGGGGACATCCGTGCCTAGTGTTTGATGTAGACAAGCAGGTGCCCTCTTCTGCGAGCCAGTCATGATGATTAAACAGCAGTCCTAGGTCGTAACAACACCACAGTGTCTTTGTCCAGCCCTTTCAAAGGCCTTTCTATGCATCATTGCATCTGAGCCAGCCCAAGCACCAAGATGAGGCACAGAGGCATTGGGCAGCTGACGTCCAAGCTGAGAGTCCGAGGCACCCATGAAGTGACCTTCTGTGTGTACTCTCCCCCCACCCACCACGACTACCAATCTCCCTGCGGCCCCTCCCTCAGTCTGTAGTGACCTCAGAGTCAGGATGGGTGGGATCTGTTCCAAAACCTTCTCACTTAGCCCCCTGTGTTCCAGCAAACAGCCGTGTGAGTATTACACCCTGGCGTTGGAACCAGCCGCCAGGAACTGGCCATTCTGTAGCTCTAAGCTCTGTTCTGCCAGACTCATGTTCCCCATCCTCCCTGTGGACAAGACAGTGCTCCTGTCTGCTGCTACAAAGTGCATCATCGTTCCTGATTTCCTGGAGGACAGCATGCATCCCACTTCTGTAGCCACGCCCGTGGGAACTTCCCAGGACCATACCCCCGACAATTGGAGCTCCTCAGGGGTTGAAGTCAGGTTATGCCTCAACACATCTGCTCGGCTGGATAAACACATCAGTGTATTGCCAGTGAGTAAATGGGCAGCTGGCGGGAGCCTGCATTGTGTTCCTCACAATGCTATCTTGCCTGGCATGATAGCCTGTGGCAGAGCGTTCTTTGTTCTGGCTCCCAAGGCCCTTGCCTCAGCAACTTGCTCTCCTTGACACCCTCCCATGCTGCCAGGCCAAGCCACTTTCTCTTAACCCAAAGCTCTCTGGTTGCCGGCCTCCACATTCCATAGCGCTCCCAGCCAGGCCACTGTCTTAAGGCTGCTGGAGTCTTGGATCTTGTTTCAAGGCCAAATCAAATCCCTCTTCTTCCAAGAAGCTGGCCCTGGAGTCCCTGTCTTTATCACTTCCTTGTTGTCCAGGTTCTGGCTGGTACCACATAACCATCTTCTAGGGGTACCTTGTACACCTCCAACCAGAAAATAAACTTCTTTAAAGCAACTGGGGTCTGACATCTGCTCCCTTAATCCCTAGTTCTGCTATGGGACCTTAAACCACTTCCTTAGTCTGTTTGGGCCTTACTTCATCCCGGAGCCTAGAGGCCTCACCTCTCTCCTCAGCCTCCAGGGCTTCTTGCAGGAGCCGGAAGGAGCTGGACTGTCTCGGGGCGGCCCGACCCTGGCGGTTCTCCTGCAGCATCTTGAATACCTCTGAGTCTTCTTCCAGGTCCAAGTTGCTGTGGAAGAGACAGCTAGGAATGAAGCCCCTGTGCCAGAGTGTTGGGACACACCCCAGTGCTGAAGAGTATGGAAGGATTAAGGGGCGGAGACTCCCATCCCTCTCAAGGAAACAAGTTCCCCCCCAGACCCTCCAGAAGCTCACCCAACTCTGAAAGACCTGCTGGTACCTGAACCTGGGGCTGGAGGACCGAGGTCCTGGGGAATGTAGCAGCACCCTCACTGCGGAGGAGTCGCTAGGGCTACTGTGTCCGGCCTGTGGGAGGAGAGCAGAGGGAGGAGTCAGGCCCAACCCCAGTGGCCGGCACGTTCCCTGTGCGTTACCAGATGCTGCTCCCAAAATCAACACGAGGGGGCGCCTGGCCTCCAATGACCTACTGGTGCAAGATACCCTGTCCCTCGCCCTCAGAGCCAAGACATCAAGGAGGGTGGGATCCTATTAGGGGAGAGAGGCCAGCGCCAGGATGCAGAGATGCTTCAGTTATACCTGGAGATCCCACAAGGACAGAACGAGGAGGGCATCAGGTGGGGGACTCCCCACAGACACCCTTTAGAGACGTTCCTCGCACTTATATCACACTACCTGTCCGCAGAGATGTGGCCAGCCTCCTATTCCACAGAAGAAACGGAAAAGCAAGCAAGCAAGCCTGGAAGCCAATCCTTTTGCCAAAAGGCCATGGAGACACAAATGTGGAAAGGGTTAAGCTCTCCTGGAGCCAGGATGGGGCTGGGCAGACTCTCGGTGTCCTTCACACAGCTCTCCTAACAGGGTCAGGCTCTGAGCTACCCGCTGCCCCTTCCTCCTACCGTTTGAGGTCTGGACCTGCCTTACCCCTACCACCCCCCCTCCCAAGCATTATGAGCAGCTACACTCTGCAAATAATCTCATTTTGTGCGTTTGCTCTGGACATTGACTCAAGCTTCTCCTTCACTGTCGATTCTGGAAGCCTGTGTCCAGCCTGCACCTGGGTGCACTCTTTCCAGTGTGATCCCCAATGGGATCTGGAGGAGTCAGAGAGGGAGGGGACCATTAGCAGCCAGTGAGGCTGAGAAACCTGGGGTGGGACAGAGATCCTGAAGTGTTCTTCCAACTGAAATAGATCCCCAGCCTTTTGGGGTTCCTTTGCCACCATACTCTAGGGTACAGTGGCTGGCCCAAACTTCCTGTGGGTCTGAGGCAGGATTCCATACCAGGCTCCTAGATGGTTTTTCAGGGTTAGACAAGGTCTGTGATAACTTTCTCAGGGCCTCAAGAGCAATGCCATATCTCCAAGCAGGCCAGCATATGCCCTGTATTAGACACCAGCCTAGGGGGAGAGGGGAGGACGGAATCCTTCCTGCCTAGGCTCCTTCTGGGGCTGAGTTCTCATTCCCAGCAAGAGAAGAGGTGTGGCTTTCACTTGATGCACCTGCAGCTTCCAGAATGACACCCGAGAGGCTAGGGTATCCTACATCCCAGCTCTCTAGACTCAGCCAGGCAAGAGCCCATGACAAAATCGGAGTATCTCTGCTCCCTCGGGCCCACAGATCTTTCTGGGCAGCCAATGCCATCACCTGAAGAGGCCTGCCTTTGCCTCCCATCTCTCCCAGACAAATGAGGACCCTACTTTCACAGAAGGAATGTTTCCTCTCCAAATCCAACAAACTACTTCCTCACCACTTGGCCTTCATAGGCATGCTGGTAGTAAACCCCTCCAAAACGTGCTATCAGGCAGACAGGAATGTTCATGGTGAGTACCAGAGGTGGGCCAGAGAACCGGGAGAAATTCTGTAGGGACCTAATCAGACCTAATGTGCTTCTTTCCTGTGGAGCCTCTAAGAAACTGAACTGCAGTGTGACTCAAGAAGGAAATGAGGACCCCATGACTCCTGCACCTATCAGCACAACGTGAGGGGTTAGGAGGTCTGGCTTTTTTCCATGAAAGCATCCCTAAGGGCCCAGAGGGTGCTTCACAAGAAGCAGCTGGCTGAGAAAGTTCCTTAGGGTCAATCTCGCCTGACTCCGAGGACCAGAGAGGAGGAGGGTCTTGCTCTGAGTAACACAGCAGCAATGGGACCAGCCAGGGCCTGCCTACCACCTGACCCCAGCTCCTTGTTTTGGCATATAAGCTTGTCAAAACACAAGTTCCTGTTCTGAACCCCCATTCCCGTTTTGCAGCTGGTCCAGGCTGGGGATCTGCATTTTCCCATAGAAATCCGCAGGGGTTGCTGCTGGCTTGAAACTCACCTCCTAGACCACCAACCTACATCCCCGTTTTTGCCTAGGTGGGACACTCCAGGAAGATCTGCCCTGGGGCGCCCACGGGCTGCTGAGCCAACAGCCCCTAGGAAATTCTGTGGCCAGAAAGGATGCCTCCACTAGCTCCAGCCCAAGCTCCTTTCCAGCCTGGCTCAAAACCTGCCAGGTCTTGCTGGGACCCGTCTCCCCTTCTCCTAGGATTTCAGGTCACTCTCTATCACCCTCTAATCGAAACCCTACCCCCAGCCTCCCTCCACTGTCCAGCGGAATTCCTAACGGAGCCTTCCCAGGCCACCCAACCTACTTCTCTCTCTCCCCTTCCGGAATGTCTCCTGCTTTTGTAATTAATCCCACACTGTTTCATACTTAATTGTTTCAAAATTGTTTGGCATGTCTGTCTTATCTCAACAGCCACATCTTAAATTCTTTAAAGATGGATCCGTGGCCGCCACAGCACCCACCCCAGCTGGCCCTGGCTGGGGTAGGCACATGGCCCTAGCACCACAAATCCTGCCCCTTCCTTCTCCAGACACCACACACACACACACACACACACACACACACACACACACACACACACATATCCTTGTCCTCTCCCACTAAAACCCCTAAAGGACCCTGTTCTTTGGAATGCAGAACCAACCCAGAAGGAAGATTCCAGCAGCTGGGTCTCGTTCCCTTCACCCAAAAGGCCAGACATGCCCCCAGCCACTCTAACCCCAGCAGCTAAGCAAGGGCCAGGGCGGTTGTCCTCTTAGATATTTCATCGCCCCGCCCCTGCCCCTGGGGAGGAGAAATACCACCTGGGGCTTAAGCTGTCAGCAGTGGTCACAGGGATGTTGGGGACCGGGTGGGGGAGGGGTCCCGCAGAGGAAGGAGCAGACAGAAAACTGGCCAAGGGCAGCATGAGACGGAACCACAGTCCCTCAGAGGCTCTCTGGGCTGAGTAGAAGGAGATCAGGAGCTGGGGGGTGGGAGTGGGGGGCTTGTGACGGGGAGGAATGTCTTTTGGAGATGCAGCCAGCACGGAGAGGGACTCATCCCAACAACAGCAGCAAAACTATTTCAGCCACAGCCCAAAAGAAACACATTGAGAAGGGAGACCGCCAGCGGGGATGGAGGGGGCCGGAGCGGCAGGAGCACAGGATGCAGAGTGGTCCCAGTGCTAGCGACCTCCCGGGCTCAGGGGTGTCATGTACCTGTCACAGGGGAATGGTCCCACCGGCTGTTCAGGTATTGCCAGCCGCTGTCAGTTAGTGTCAGAGGCAACAGTGGCCGCCGGGAGCATGAGAGGGAGACATCTTCCCTCAAGAAGCCTCACCTGTTGGCTGGTGGGGTGGCCCGGGTGGGACAAGCGGTGAGTAGCAGCAAGGCCTGGAGAGTGTGTCAGACTCTGGAAACTGAAATTGGAGGGGGGCGGGGTGTGGGTGTGGAGCCCACACAGCCTGCCCCAGGGAGGAAGTTGGGGGGTGGGGTGGGGGGTGTCCAGGGTTCCCTACACATAACCACTGAGACTCTGAGGGGCCAGGCCTGGACTTGGTGGCCCAGTTGGCCATGGCACCCAGTCACTGAGCTCACCTACAGCCAATTACATCCTCTCCAGAAACAGCAAGTGGGCTGGTTGGGGGTGGAGTGGAGAAAGGGCTGCCTGGCCTCGGACTGAGGGAGGCTGGGCTGAAATAGGCAGGTCTCCAGGAGGACTGGCTGTCATGGCGTGTCCTCAGGGAGCCCTGTGGAGAGGGGCCAAGAGAGAATTGGCATGACCCTGCTGGCTGCACCCCTCAGGGTACGTGGGGGTGCTGTAGCTCACGGCTGGAAGGACCAGCTTACCTGGAATCTAGCTGCCAGCACTTCCAAGGAGCCCTCCCCATTGGTCTGCCCTGGAGAGGCAGGTTGGGACCTGAGGGACAAGAGAGAGAGAGAGAGAGAGAGAGACGTCTGTCACAAGGTCCTAGACATCCCCATCCTGAACACCATTCCCAGGCTTGGTTCTCCAGGCCAGCCAAATATCCAAGACACTTGGACACTGGATGCTTAACTTTGTTGAGTTCGAAACAAATGACTCCCATCAACCACCACCATCATCCCTCTCAGGTTGGGCACCATGACAGGAAGGGCAGTTTTAGCAGAATGCTTAATAAATTCAACTTATCAGAAGTTCCTCCCATGACCCACATGCCTATTTTCTTCCATTCCATCCAATCACCAGACAGTGTCTGCTTGAGATCAATTTGAGGAAGATGGCTAATTCTATATAAATAACCCTTTGTCTTTTAAACTGCGGAGAAAGAAAAGCCATGGGAGGGAAATGAGTCGTCCCCAGTCCTAACGTCCATTGTTGGCCAAACCAGACACCTACTTTTCCCCATTGATAGGCTGGTCTCTAGTAATGGCCAGAATGTCTCCGGGAAGGTCACTTGGAATTTCTGCCTCAGACTCCTCCCCAGCAAAACAAGGGGCAAGGCAGACTCCCCTTCCCTTCCAGACTGAAGCTACAAGAAAGCTCAGCATCCAACCTACAACCAACAGCAGCTAGCCAGAGAGGCTCCTCTGACCCAAGTGGAACTGGCAGGAGCCTGAAGATCATTTGGAGATCATTGGAGATCAGAGGTAAAGGTGAGGAGAGGAGCCCTTCATCGTTACTACATTCCTGGGCCTCTGGCCACTTCTAGCAAGGTTGGCTAGCAGGAGCCTTTGTCTCCCAGGGTCAGGGGTCAGGTACAAGGTCAGGTCGAGGGGAGCGCCTGCCTCAGAACTTCTGATTGCCTCCTGGGGAAGTGGGGGGAGGATTGAGGAGGGGTCTTGGCCAAAGAATGAAGACACTCCAGCCTTGGCTTGCCTGGCAGGGTTGAGCTGGTCAGGCCCACCTCCCCAGTGGTCAGGTTCCTCCGAGAAGGACCTAACAGCAAGCAGTGGTGTCAGCAGATCTTCTCCTGATTGCAGCCTCCTGTGGATTTTGGTCCCATTCCCAGATGCCATGAGGGCCCCTCCACCCTCCTCCTCCTCCAGGTCTCTCTCCTGCAAACACTCAGGGACAGAATGGCATGAAGAGAGCCAATACCATGGGAGCCCGCCTCTTCAATATCACCTACCAGCGGGGCCCATGGGTGAGGAAGAGTGCAGAGGCCAAAAGAAAGCTAGGCAGTGGGACAGAGGCAGAGAGAGAAGCAGAAGACATCCAGCTCCTTTCCAGGCCTGCCCAGAGAGCCTTTGGACCAAGGAATCTCCCAGCATTCCTGAACTATGACTCACTGTGATGTTCCACCCTGAGTAGCCACCTGTTCCCACCACCACCACCACCACCATCACCACCACCCCACAACACTCCTCAAGAGTGCCAAGGACCCATGTTCAACGGCAAAGCCCAAAACAGTGATGGGAAGGGACAATAAGCTCTGTGAGTTATGAGTCTCCGGTTCCCACCTCCACCTGGATCTACAAAAACAGCCACCTCTCAGAGACAAGGGCACTGGAGGCGCTCTCAGCCTCGGGGACACCTTGCCCCTGCAGTTTCCTCTCTTCAACCTCTTCATGCCCACACCCTGTACCATTCACACTCCTGGGAACCAGTCAAACCCGGGCTTCAGGTAGCTGGTGCCAGCTTGCCCCACCTCGCCTGTGGCTGCACGCCCAGCCTGGCGCCCACCTTTACCCAGATAGTCACCGGGACACCTTCTTTTCCACTACCCCGGGCCCAGAGCTGAGGACTTCCCACATGCCCAAAGAGCCTGGGAAGACTGGGATGGGGCTGCACCGGGGCCCTAGGCAGGGTTGAGGGCGGCTGCCTGGCTGGCAATGGAGAGGCGGAGGAGGGGGAAGGTGGCAGGACCAGCCAGCCAGTGGAGACGGAAGGCCTACCGGTCCAGCCGTAGTCGTAGGGGTGAGGCGCTCTGTCGGATCTTGCTCTGGGCTTCAGCATGCAGCATGCTCTCGGCACTCTCGCCATTGATGGCCACAATGATGTCGCCAGGCCGGAGATCTGCCGCCTCAGCCTTGCCCCGCTCTGTTACCTGTAGGGATGAGGAGCCAGATGCTGGCTGGTGAGTCTTTGGGACCTGGAACCCACCCTGGATAGGGGCACACTTGAGAAGGCTTGGAGCAGAAGGGACCTCCTTCTGCTGCCCAAGAAATGCAGAAGCAGGGTTGGACTTATACCACCTCTTTCTCCACCTTGCCCCGTCTGCCAGCTTGCCAGCTAATCCCTTACAGGCTTGAGGGGCACCCCCTACCCCCCCAACAACAACAACAACAACAACACACACACACACACACACACATTGGCATTCAAACACGAGCCTCCCAAGGAATGTGACAGCAGAATGTTAAGAACTGAACTTGGGAATTTTCTGGACCAAGAACCCTGCCCGTGCACATCACACCTTGCAGGTGGCTGACTAAATATGGCCGTGGCTATGAACACACTCCAGCCAGGACCCGGGCCTGAGTGGAAAAGAAACTTGCAACCTACCAAGAACTTGCAGTAGCATTGTCCTTTAGAACCACCCCCAAAGGCCACCAACAGGTGTGAGTTTCAAGACTGTCCTCAGCCTTCTTCCTTCACTTCCTAAATGCCTTCCTGAAGGAGATCTCACATACCAATGGCAACACAGTACAGCTGTCCCCCTGGCCAACACTGCCCAGAGCCAGCCTCAGGCGCCAGGACAAATTGGGGGAAGTACCTGTGGGGGAACAAGACACCCCCCATTTTCAGGGGCTAGCTAGCTCCTGATCTCCTGAAAACAGCCCTTACCTTGGTCACGATGATGGGTGTGTGGAAATCTCTGCCTCCGCTAATGCGGAAGCCCCAAGGGGCTGGCCCCACCACGTCCACAGTCAGCGCCATGCCTGAGGAGGAGACGAGCGGGAGGTGGGACCCACTCCCACAACACACCCCAAAGAAAAGGGAGAAGATGGGTGACAGGTCTCAGAGCTGCCCAGCAGGGCCTGGGCCTGGGTGGTGGTGGTAGAGGAAGTGACTAAGTCCCTCCCTCTCCGGAGAGTTTCACTTCCCCCCACCCTGGGAGGCCTTGACTCCGAGTTCCCCCTTCTAGGGTCTTGGGCCTAGCAGATCCCCTAAGAGAAGCAGTCGTCCCACTGGCAAGCTGCCAGACTTCCCTACAAGTGTGTGGAGGAAAACGGGGAGAAGGAATTAGCAGGTGTTAGGAGTTATCTGCACCCCACCCCCGCTTCAGTACCTCAAGGGCTTGTTTCCTGTCCCCCAAACTAAGAGCACAAGATACTTCCTGCACGCTCTGTGTAGAGCGGAGCTTTCCACACAGGAGGACAGGACGGCAAGCCTTGGGGTGGCCCCTACCAGACAGCAAGAAGTTAGCCAGGCCTGGGACTGGCAGGTTATCAGACCAAGGACTTTCCAGAGGGGCAGCTTGGCTACCTGCCCAGCCCTGACAAGTGGGGTCAGATGAGCAAGAGGAAGCTTGACTACCTTCTCTAGGGGCCTGCTGCCCTCTGAACAGCTTGAGCAAGGAGGCCAAAGCTCATCCGCCAAGGGAGGCACACCCACCCTGGTGCTGGCCAGCAGGGCAAGTCCATGGTGCTGCCAGTTTGGCCACGGGCTTCCCATCTGCAGCCCCCTCTGCCCCACAAGGGAGTGTCTTTGTGGACCAGGCCCTCCTAGGATTTCCTGAGCTTCGAGGTCTGGAGCCAGGAGTCAACCCAGTCAGGAAGCTGCAATGCCAGGCTGAGCACCACCCAGCCCAGCACCCATCCTGAGACTGTCCCTGGGGAGGTACGGAGTCAGCAAGTACTGTCCAATATCTCAAGAACATCAAGGCCTAGGGGAGGGGGTTGGCCAGACCAGCAGGTCCACTGTCTTGTCCCCAGGCAACTGGCTTTCCTTTTCACCCAGGCCCAGCCACCGGGCCTCTGGGCTGATGGCTGAAAAGTCTGCAAACGCCCTGAGACTCTCAGACCTTTGAGCCGGCCAGTGGACCCAGGGCTGCGAGTAGTTCGGGAATTGCCTAGCTCGTCAGCCTGGCTGTCCCCAGCACGGGTTCTCAAGCCACCTTCCCACCAAGGCCAAAGTACCCCGGAGGCCCCAGACTAGAGGACGAGCGCCCGGGTCAAAGGCCAAGCCAAACCACCCGGTACCCAGGGCCGAAGAGAGGCTTCGGGCCAAGAGTAGGAGGCTCCGGCGAGGTGGAGCTCCCCGAGGGCGGTGGCCCGCGGAGGGTGCAGGTGGGCGCGCGCTCACCTGGCTGCCGCCCGCCTGTCCCGCTGGGCGGCCAGGCCCGCCGGGAAAGGGAGGGAGGGAGGGAAGGACCGAGGGAGTGAGGACGAGGAGCCGCCGCCGCCGCCGCCGCCGTTCCACCGCAGCCGTCTGTCCGACTCTAGGGAGAGCTCGCCCGGGGCTCCGGGACCTGCCTCCGCCCATGTGATCCCGGGGCCGCCCCTGCCGCCGCCCCTGGCCCGGGAAGCCGCCTCCTCTGCGCTGCGAGCCGAGCCGGGGCGCCGCCACCTGGCCCGCGCCTTGCGGGGGAGCTGGGAGTGGGCGTGGGGGCGGGGGAAGCAGACTCTCCCCGAGCCGCCTCTAGGCTGAGACCCTTCCGAGGTGCCCGCATCCTCCCGGACTGTCCCTGAGTACAGGGGAGCGGTTCAAATGGCAGACCCTCCCCTGCAAGCGCAGACTACGGGGAGACTTCGTACCACCCCACAATAGGAAAAGGGACCGCGACATCGAGGCCTCTATCAGGCAAGCGCTGGCTCAGTGGACTTGTCCGTGGTCCTCTGCCCACTCCTGGCTCCCATGATGGCGCAGCTGCGGTCTCGATACCCACAAAACCCCAAACCTGAGCCATCTCTCCATCCTCCTATCTGTTCCCGGGCAGACGCCCCACTGATGGCTCTGTGCTGCCAGCGACTTAGCCGCAGATACCCGCAAGCCAAGCCTACCCTGAGCAGGAAGGCATGCCCAGACCCAGAGGAGACGGGGAGAGCGCTTGGCAGGGTCACCAGGCACCTCCTCTCCCAGCTAGCCTGCCTGGCATGGGCCAGCTCCAACCATCACCAAGGACCCCGAGTCTGCCCCATCCCTTCTACCAGGCTCCAGGGCTCAGGCCAACGGGACAAAGGAGGGTGAGGTGGGCAGGTGCAGGCCCAGGAAGGAGGAGCCATCTGACCAGAGGGTCCCCCCAGAGCTATACCTGGCAACCCTTGCCCTGGGGAGTTGATGGCCCACGCAGCTGCCTTCTGCCTCTTCGGTTGCTCTTACGACTTGGCACACACCGAGCAGCACACCTGTGGATACAGCTGTAACCTGCCTGCCTCAGGTGTGAGTCATTCCCTCCGAGTTCCCCAAGAGGATTGCCCTGGCCACCCTCACCATCCTCCTCACCTATAAAGAGCTGGTGTGGTTCCTAGTCCCTGGCACTTCCCATTCAGCCAGCCAGCTTTCAGTCACCTCCCCGGCCCCACCTCCCACAACCGCGTCTTGGGCAGGTAAATGGCCCCACCACTGACTAATCCAGGGGGCCATTCCTCTGCTGCACCTGCTCTCCCTGGCCGCCTAGACTGGAAGCCTCTAATGTTTGCCTCGGTGCTGGGGATTGAACCTGAGGCCCTAGACCTGGATGTACCTCTCTTTAAGCTCCACCCTCAGCCTCCTGGGAACCTCTTGAGCAGGACCTCTGATAGGGCAAGCACGGCCTTGGGGTTCTAGCACCTTACTTACCCTTACGTGTCTCAGCTGCCTTTAACCGTACGCTGCTGAGTTAATTTGACTAAACTGGAGTTATTTGGGAAGAGGGAACCCCAACTGAGGAACTGCTTCCCCCAGACTGTCCTGTGAGTGTGTCTGTGGGGGCATTTTCTCCATGGCTGATGGATGCAGGGGCTCAGTGTGGGCGGTTCCCTACCTGAGCAGGTGGGCCTGGGTGGTCTAAGTCAAGCAGGCTGTGCGAGCCATGAAGAGTTCAGCTGCGTTCCTTCACGACTTCTGCTTCAGTTCCCGCCCTGGGTTCCTTTGGGGATGGACTGCAATGTGGAACTATAAGCTGAAATAAACCCTGTTCTCCCCCAAGGTGCTTTGGGTCGTGTTCTATCACAGCAATAGAAAGCCTGGTGATGGGCTGGAGAGATGGCTCAGCCGTTAAGAGCACTGACTGCTCTTGCAGAGGACCCAGGTTCAATTCCCAGCACCCACGTGGCGGCTCACGACTGTCTGTAACTCCAGGGTCCAACACCCTCACACAGACATACATGCAGGCAAAACACGGATGCACATAAAAACAAATTTTAAAGAAAGAACCCCTGGTGACAGTGTTTTATCACAGCAACAGAGAAAGGAAGCCAGGACAGGCAGTTTCCACGGCTCTCTGGAGCCCCAGTTTCTCCATGTGGTGATGTCCATTTTACCCTCCTGCTCGGCAGATGATTTCCCACAGAAGGTGGTCAAGGATTGCAAGACATGAAAGTTAAGGGATGTGGTAGGGAGAGAAGGCAACAGGAAAGAATTCATTTCGCCCAATGATTCGAACAATATTCATTAACAAGTCTTTATTGAGCACCCACAGTCTGCCAGGAACTATGCAATGCTGTCTTCAGGGACCCTCGAGGGCCCCTCAGACAGGCTCTGAAAATACCACAGGTTAGTCCGTAGGCCTCCCCGCTCTGGGTGGAGTATTCACAAATCCCACCACAAAGTCGTCTGACCAAGGGCATGACTCTGACACGCAGAAAGGACCTGTCCTGCTCTGAATGATTCTGGGTACTGAGTGCAAGTCATATGCTTCACCTGTCTGAGGGGTGGGCCACCCCAGCAGCCTCGGACTCTCTTCACCAGGCCAAGGTGTCAGCGTGGCCATCTCACAGGCCTGCCTGGAGGCTGTGGGAGAGGTGCCAGAGCCTCGTCAAAGAGAAGGTTTGGTTTCTGCTCAGGGAAAAAGTTTCAACCCTGAGATGTTTCATGAGGGCACCAAGGGACATTAAAACAAGCTAGGGTGAGGGATCAAAAGCAGGCTAGCAGGGCCCTCGCGACTCATCCTTGCTGGGCAGTGGGAGGGCCTGGCCAATCTAGAACCAGGCCAAGATGAGCACTGAGTGGAGGAGGGCATAAGGGCACGCAGGTCTCGTTCTGCGAGCAGCTGTTTAACCACCCTGGCTGGGGGCCAAGCCACACCCAGGCTCAAGGAACCAGCCAGGGCCAGGTCACCGCTCTGCATGTCAGTCACCAACTCTACCCACTTACCCCGGGGAAGGGCACCTTAAGTGACAGGCCCAGGAGACAGAAGTACCAGGAAGAACATAGAAGCAGCCCAACCCTAGGCCACCCCAAAGTCATCCCCAAGTGATTGTCCTCCTCCAGGGGCCCCCGGACAGGGACTGTCAGGGCACTTGATGGATGGCATGGGATGAGGCTGAGCTGGCTGCAGCTTCCGATAAGGATGTGGCCTCTGCATTTCTGAGCTCCTCTCCCGTCAGGCAGGTGTACTGTCTAGGTTGGTGACACACAGGCACAGTCCCTTACTGCCTGCTCACCGGCCAGCCACGGCCCAAGAGTGCAGCTGCCGATCCGTGGGTGTGGCCGGCTGTCGTGGAGGCCAAAACAGGAGATTTACCTCCAATTCCAGGCCACCCTGGGTCGTGGAGTCAGACTCTGACTCAGCGACAAAGAGAATTCCTTTTCTGGAGGAAAGGCCGGGCCCAGGATGTGCTAATGTCCCCAGAGGCCACCAAGCCCTTGGGTGAGAAGAAGTTGCTTTGGCTACCTCTGCCCCACCCACTCCCAGCTTCTCCAAACTGAATGCTCAAAAACAAAAAAACAAAAAAAAAAGTGAGCCCAGAGAAGAACACCACCAGAGTCTGGTGTGGAGATGGAGCATTCGTGGGGAGCGTTAAGTGGGGAACATTTACAAACGTCACCAAGTTCAGCCACCGCCTGGTAAAGCTCCAGAATGAAGGCCACACATCCGTCCCCAGCTCTGGACTCTCCCTCCCATCAGGCCTGTCCTGTCTCCGCTGACACTTGCTCTCAGTACCTCCCATCTATCTGGCCCTTTGGAGCTGGTCCCTTCTGCCTGTCATTCCTGCTGAGACAGGAGACATGGGTGATTTACTCCCCTCCTGCATACAGTCGGCCCACCTACCTCAAGCCACTGCCCACGACCGAAAGAAATCCCACGCTCGCTCCTAAATGGGCAGAGTCCTCCCCACCCCACTACACCCGCCCAAAAGGGGAATGATGCAGACGTGCATATCCCTGGTATCCGTGTTTATTGTACATTCTCTTCCAGAGGGGATCTAGATACTGGGGAGGCCTGGGGATGAGGGCAGCAAGCATGTCTCCCTGTGACTCTGTCTTCTGAGAGAGAGGTCAGGGCGACTGTGGGCCTTAGTCGGAGGGAGGGCTCGGAGTACATGTGGAGGTCCTCAGGGGGTCAGGAGCCTCTGGGAAGAGGAAGCCTAGGGGCAAGACCTCTCACTGGGCTTTGAAAGGCTGACAAGGTGTTCCTCACCTTGCTTTGAGGCCCAGCTGGAGGCCAGAAGGTAAAATGGTGGCGGGCCAGCTGGTGAGAAACTGGAGGAGTCCTTTGGTCTCTACCAGGGTAGGAGGCTGGTCCTTATTAGAGGAACCCCATGGGGGTGAATGGGAGGAGCCAGTCCCCATTAGGGGAAACGCTGGGGGGGATGGGGGCCTGGGGGTCTGGTCTCAATAAGGCCTGGAGACAGTCTCCACATCAGAGCAGACGTCTGTATTTTGAGGGGTGGTGCGGGGGAGCCGTCAAAGGAATATGCCCGTGACTCACGGGTGGGAATCAGTCCAGGGGACCTCCAGGGGGGCTCGGAGGGAAGGTTGCCGGGGTCTCTGCAGATGCTGGGAGCACAGGTCCTGGGGGAAGGAGGGTGTGGGGGGCCTCTCTCCCTCCCATAGTGCTACTGCTCCCCACCCCATCCTCGTTGGCTCCAAACTGCCATGGAGACCACTCACACCGGGGCTACATAATTTCCAGGGAATGTCCCAAATTTCTGAGTTCTCCGGGAGACACCTGAAGAAAAAAAAAAAAAAGGAAAGGCAGGTTACAGCGGGTTAGGGCGCGCCCTCCGCTGACAGAACCTGGAACTGCAAGTGGAATCAGGTTCTCGGGGAAAGGACTTAGATTTTCCTCTGCTCATTCCTGCCCCCTGGCGGCGCAAGCTTAGATGTGCAACGCTGCGCCTGTGAACCAACCAGGGAAGACAGCTTTGCACACAGCACCAACTCCATGCTTCTTTGAGAAAACCGAGAATTGGGAAGATGAATCACAGACCGTCTACGGGGCGGAACCCACTGATCTAGCAGAACACTTTCATTTCAGAGATGGGCACTGGGCAGGCCTAGGGGTAGAAGCTGGGATGGTACGCCAGGCTTCTTGGCTTGCTAAGACCGCTGGAGACACACGTGTCCTGGGGTGAGGGAGGGAATGTACTTGAAATGTGCTAGAACAACGGAGGGCCTTTCATTTTCTTTCTTTTTAACTAATCTACACGTAAGTGGCCACACGTGGCTATTGAATACTATTATACCAGACGTCACAGGCCCAAGTCATTCCCCGTAGCTTTATGGCTTCATCCGTGGTATAAAAGAAATTCAAAAGCAAAAGTGCATGAGTGGAGGGAGAGGCAAGGACCGCTAACCGCTGTGGTATGACAAGCCACCGAGAATCATATCAAAAAGAGGAGACTGTACTATCAAGGGTCTGCTCCTATGACGCCTCCGCCCAGGCCGGGCTTCAATCCTGTGGGCCTCAAAGTCTGCTTGTCAGGAAGAGGGCTTCTAGCCATTCACTTCTCTCCCTGGCCTCTCCTCTGAAGCCAAGGGGATACAAGGCTTGCCTACTTTGGGGAGTCTGGTGGGTAGGTCTCTTGGCACCAGACAAGAGCAACATGAGGCTTTGGGTCTTCGGCCTTAAAGTGCAATGTCTTGGGGCCAGTAGTGAAGGGCTGAGATATTAAATCGTTTCCCAGGTTGTGGGAGCGGGCGGGGGTGGGGCAGAAGACCCTGGATGCGAGACCTGCTTGCGGAAGCCGTGGTATGGGGCAAGAAGGAGCAGAGGGTCTGTAAATCAGGAAGCCTGTCCCAAATGTGACTATCACTGAGCACATGCCGAGACAGTCTTGGGGGGGGGGGGCGGCTTGCCTCTCTTTGGGACAGAGGGTAGGTGGGGGTGTTGGCTATGAGTCTTAACTGATTCAGCACTGCCACTCAAGTCTCCATGGCGACCCTGAGATTCCTCCTTCTGGCCTGCCCTCCCCTCCACAGGCCACGTACCCACAAACCAGCCATCATCACATTGCTGCATGACATCCACGCGGTCCCCCTCACGAAGTTCCAGCTCATCCTCATTCTGGGGCCTGTACTGGTACATAGCCCGGTACCTGTGGGAAATGGCGGCATGGCAGCCAGAGAGGCCCTGGGCTCTTTCCCAGACCTGCTGACAGTTCTACCAAGATCTGTCACTCTGGGCTCCCTCTCCCCATCACCTGAGCACCAAAAGACGAGCTTTACTTAGGAGTTTTCCCCAGTCTATAGGGGAAGGAGGGTAGGACCTGGGATTGCCTGCCAGCAACTCCCACCCAGGGCAAGCATCCTCAGCTGGTACTCACGGAGTCCAGTGTATCGCTGTGGTGCTTGGGGAGGGGGTCCCCAGATCTATGGGACGGCTGGTGCCTCGTGGATGGGACAGGGCTGGTCCAGGAGTGCCGAGACTCTGGGGGTTCATGGGGAGAAAGGAGGGCCACAAAGAGGGGGTGGGAGGGAGAAGTAGGTGTGGTTTTCATGCTGTTTCCTTAAACCCTCAGGCCCCGGAGGGTGGGCTCTGACTAGCTCACTTCAGAGGGACTTGGCTGTGGGCCCAGGCCCCAGGCAGGGTGAGTGGCTGGACTTCTGAGCACCAGCAAGGACAAAACAGGTCCAAGGAGGAGCCAGGAGCAGCTGGACCTGCTCAGAGAGGCGTGCTGTGAACATGGGACCCCAGGGCCAAGGGCACGATGAAGGGCTGCCAGACACCTTTGCTCAGACCTACCCATCCATCTCCTCCAGTGGGAACGGTTAGCTTTTCTACACAGGGGTGACTCAAACCCAGAGAGCACAAACCGCTTGCTCGTGGGCCACACAGCAAGCAAGCACCAGAGGCCTGATACCTAGCACTACTCAGCAAAGACATGCACTGAAAAGCGGCATCTTGGAGGCTCGGGAGGTCTAGCCCGTCACCCCAGTTGGTCCACATAGAGCTAGGCCCCGCCCATGCCTCTCTGAGCTGGAGGAGGACCAGAGATCAGGAACCATCTCAAGAGGTTTGGACCAAATCAAGGTGGGGCCATGCTAGGTACTGCCCAGCCCCTCGATTCTCCGTCCAGAGGCTGTCCAGGAAGGGTCACCAGTGTGGACCGGTGAGAGGCTAGGAAGGCAGTGTGAGAAGCAGGCCACCTCACCTGGGTTTGGGGTCTGGACTCCTGGAGGGTGATGGGGAAAGGGAAGCCAGAGCGGCGAGGGGAGGTCCGACCTCCCCAGTCAGTGGGGTCCACTTGTACTGAGGGGGAGCCAGGGTGGCAGGCCACACGGGCAGTGGGTGTCAGGTGGGGTGAGGCAGGGAGCTGGGGGCTGTCGTCGCAGATCCGGACCCGGGGCTCCCGGTTTATCTGCACGTAGCTGGCCGGGAAGATGCCCTGGCGTCCTGTGCCGGTGATACGTCCCTCGTACCAATGTTCGTTCACCTTGCGGATCAGGCAGATGCGTTCCCCCTGCGGGGTTAGAGAGGGGTCTGTGTCAGCAGGGGTTTCTCGGGCATCACACACCTGAGGGTGGCTTACCGGGGTCATCTCACTCAGGCCTCACACGGTACATGCTTGAGGGAATCGGTCCCAGAAAGGGTCAGCAGGTTACCCAAGGCCACACAGCGGAAAATGGGGGAGGAGTCAGGAACAAATGGAAGACTAAACTCTCCCCACAGCAGGCGGGGCTGGGTTTTGATCAGGTCATACCCTTAGCAGGCTCATGACGATAGCAATCCCTACCCCCAGTCACAGTGGGGCTGTGGCTAATTACTCAGGTGCAAACCCCAAAGCCAAGTCCCAGCTATGTGGCCTTGGGCAAGCTGCTCTGTATTAAGTGGGATAAGCTACCATTGCTGTTGTTATGAGACACAAAACCCAGGGTGGCCTCAGAAGCGGCGCTGGACGGATCTTAGCATGCCACCACAATTCAGTCATGCCCCTGACTCACGTGTCCTGTGACCCCCTCCCAGGGCAGAAGGCATTCTCAGGAGCACAGGGTTTTAGAGGTTGGGGTAAAACTGCCACCATCTCAGGGGGCTACTCTCAGGAGGATGTCCCCACCCCTCACTGCCCAGTCCTCTCCTGCCCAGCCACCCTGCCCACCTCCATCCCTGCCTGCCTCTGGGGCCAGCTTTTCCTGGAGGAACTCACTAGGGGCATCTGTAGGCTTTGCCCCCAAATTCAACCAAAGGAAGGTCAGTTCCTCATCTCATAGAAACCTCACTTTCTTCACCATAACCCAGCACAAAACATACATGTCAGTGACATCCCAGAAGCCACAAACACAAATGTACGTGCACACATAAGGGCCTGGTTTTGGCACAGTGTCCTTTACACAAAATTCCTTTCTATTCCTTTAAAAATGTAGATTATGATCCTTGCGGCCAGCCAACCTGCAGTTTGTAAAAACACATGCTGGCTTATACCTATAATCCTAGTATTTGGGCAGCTGAGGCAGGAGGACTACAGTGAGTTCCATGCTATCCTGGTAGGCCAGCCTGGATAACAGAGTGAGACACTGTCTGTAACATTTTTTCAAAAATGGAATAAGCCAGGCAAGAGTGGCGCTCGCCTTTCATCCCAGCACTCGGGAGGCAGAGCCAGGAGGATCTCTGTGAGTTCGAGGCCAGCCTGGTCTACAGAGTGAGATACAGGACAGGCACCAAAACTACACAGAGAAACCCTGTCTCGAAAAACAAAAAACAAAACAAAACAAAAAATGGAATAAATTGGCTAAGCCATGGCACAGGCCTATAATCCCAGCTACTGGGGAGGCAAGAATATCAAAATCTCAAGGCCTTGAGACTGGAGACATGCTCAGTGGTGAAGAGTATCTGATGCTCTTGCAGAGGACTGGAAGTCCATTCCCAGCACCCACATAGTGGCTCACAGCCATCTGTTACTCTGG